GTAATTAGGCAGGAGAAAAACATAAAGGGTATCCAAATTGGAAAGGAAGAAGCCAAATTAGCCTTGTTTGCAGACAACATGATCTTACACCAACAAATACCTAAAGACTCCACAAAAAAACTGTTAGAACTGATAAATTCAGTAAAGTTGTAGTATACAAAATCAACATACAAAAATCGGTAGCATTTATATACACAAACAGTAATCTGAAGAAGAAATAAAGAAAGCAATCCTTTTACAATAGCTACAAAAAATATAAAATACCTAGGAATAGATCTAACCAAAGAAGTGAAAGATCTATACAAGGAAAACTATAAAACTCTGAAAAAATAAATAGAAAAGGACACAAAAAAATGGAAAGATATCCCATGCTTATGGATTAGAATAATTAATATTGTTAAAATGATAATACTACCCAAAGCAATTTACAGATTCAGTGCAATTCCTATCAAATTACCAATGATATTCTTAACAGAAATTTTTTAAAAATTCCTAAAATTTATATGGAACCACAAAAGACCCTGAATAGCCAAAGCAATCTTGAGCAAAAAGAACAAAGCTGGAGACATCACACTACCTGACTTGAAAATTTATCACAATGCTATAGTAACCAAAACAGCATGGTACTGGCATAAAAGCTGACACATGTACCAATAGAACAGAATAGAGAACCCAGACATAAATCCACACATTTACAGCCAACTCATCTTCAACAAAGGTGCCAATAAATCACAATTGGGAAAGAACAGTCCTTTCAACAAATGATGCTGGGAAAACTGGATAACTATATGCAGAAGAATGAAACTAGACTCCTATCTCTCATCACACACAAAAATCAAAACGAAATGGATTAAAGACTTGAATCTAAGACCTGAAACTATGAAGCTACTCGAAGAAAACATTAAGGAAATGCTCTAGGACATCAGTCTAGGCAAAGATTTGTTGTGTTAGATCTCAAGAGCACCAAAGCAAATATAGACAATTGGGACCTGATGGAGTCATTGCAAAAGAACTTTTGTGCAGCAAAGGAAACAATCAACAACATGAACAGAAAACCCACAGAATAGAAGAAAATATCTGCAAACCATCCATCTGGCAAAGTGTTAATAACCAGAATATATAAAGAACTCTAACAACTCAATAGCAAAAAAGTAAATAATTCAATATAAAATTGGCAAAAGATTTGAAGAGACATTTCACAAAAGAGGACATACAAATGGCCAGCAAACATATAAAAAATGTTCAACATCACTAATCACCAGAGAAATGTAAATCAAAACTATAACACAATATTATCTCACCCCAGTTAAAATGGTAAAAAAAAAGAATATAAATGCATTTATTACCACTGATCTGTACACTTACAAATGGTAAAGATGTTAAATTCTAAGTGTATATTTTACCTCAATAAAAAAAGTCTTAAAAGAAAAAAAAGAAAAGTCAGATGCATACTAAACTACTGAGACTGAAACAAATTTAGAATAAAGTATACTTTCAAACCAAATTTAAGGTAAATTTTAAAAGGCTTTCCAATTGCTGAAGTTTGCATTTCTCTAATAAGACAAAAATATGGTTTAGAAAAACCAGCATTTCTCTCCTTTTATAACATTTAGAGATCCTTAAAATCAATTGTTAGCTATTGTAGCATGTTAGTTCATTAGATGTTGCATAATATATATAGGCCACCACTGATATTCTTGAGGAGCTTTGTGTTCACAATGGTTCATGGATATGAATTTTAATCATGAGCTATTATTGGGGTTATAGCATTTCAGTTTTTTGGGAAGAATAACATTATTGTAATATAAACATTCCTTGTAGTAAATATTTATATTATGGGGTTTTTTGGAGTAGTAACAGAAGAATTTGTTTTCCACCTTAGCTATCATCTAACAATTTGCAATACTAAGAAGGAACCAAATCTTTAAAAAAAAGAAGAAAAGAGAAAATTTGACATTCATGATTTAAAAACTGAAGGATCGGCTGGTCCGATGGTAGTGGATTATCAGAACTTATTAACATTAGTGTCACTAAAGTTGGTATTCAACCCCCTACTGCTAAATTTGACTGGCTTTTAAAAATAAATAAATAAATAAAAACTGAAGGATCCAGCTTACCAAAAAGAGATCAAAATATCAAAAAGTTATTATCTAAAGCCTTAAACCAAGCTCCAAAATTCTCCTCCCTCAACATTTTTACCTTAACCAAACAAACACATAGAGCATTAGCTTAAGCAATAAAAAGAGAGAGGTTATATTCTCCATCAAGAAGTGTAAATGTGGTCTATACTACAGCATGTGAGACAGGATCCTGTTAGAAATATCCAGGAGAGTAGGACACACACTACACTACTAATGGCCCAAAGTAAAACAAAATAAATAAAATAGGCTCTGTAAGTACAAGAGTCATAAAATGCCTATTTTTATTTATTTTTAAGAAAATTTCTAGAACTGTTCTGATTTCAAATATTTTGTCACCAGGTTGTCCTAGAAATTTTAATATTTCTGGATCCAAATTATATTTATACTACAATAGAATTATACCAATTCACTATAGTACAATCCACAAACTCATGCAATCCACCCATTCTAGAACAGGCCTTTTGTTCAAAGACACCTTTCCTGAGCTTTTAGTTTTAAAATAGGTTACCATAGGCTGGGCGCGGTGGCTCACGCCTGTAATCCTAGCTCTCTGGGAGGCCAAGGCGGGCGGATTGTTTGAGCTCAGGAGTTCGAAACCAGCCTGAGCAAGAGCAAGACCCCATCTCTACTAAAAATAGAAAGAAATTAATTGGACAACTAAAAATATATAGAAAAAACTAGCCAGGCATGGTGGCGCATGCCTGTCGTCCCAGCTACTCGGGAGGCTGAGGCAGGAGGATCACTTGAGCCCAGGAGTTTGAGGTTGCTGTGAGCTAAGATGACGCCACAGCACTCTAGCCTGGGCAACACAGTGAGACTCTGTCTCAAAAAAAAAAAAAAAAATAGGTTACCATAGTTGAGGTCTCTGAAAAAAAGGCAAAGGTTTCTTTCCAACCAAAGCTAACTAGGTCCAGGAAAGAAATGTTTTGAAAGGGTCTTGTTACTTAAATTGTTAAATACATTAAGAAGTCTTGTTAAAATGACAGACATTCTTACAGACAGCTCTTCCCATCCCTTTCAATTTCTAAAAGTTACTAAGAATTTCACATATTTCAAAATTTATTTCTGGATGTCATTTCTTCAGAGTAGCTTGTCTCACAGCTAATTTTCAGAACAAAAAATCCTTTCTTCTCTAACTTCAGTTGTGCTTTTCAACTCTTTAATGCAAGCCCTGAACAGCTACAGGTGTCAAGCTGTAGCTAACACCTTGTAATTGTTTTAAGCAGAAGAGAAGGGTAGGAAAGTGGTGAGGATAGACAGTTCACAATAGCCCTTTTAGTGAGAAAAAATATAAAGCAGGGAAGTCTCAAGTTCTAGCCAGTACATCAGGAATGATATGGAAAAGTCAAGGGACTCCAATCATATATAATAATAACTCTCTTAGGTAACTGAAAATGCCTAGAACAGAGAATAAAGGAAGAGGAAATAATTCATGGAAATCAAAAAAAAAAAAAAAAAAAAAAAAAAAAGACTCTAAGATCGATTTAAGCTTAGGAAGACTTGAAAGAAAGAAAAAGTTTGCATATATGTATAAAGTCACAGTGTGACCAAAAAATAGCACCTGGCGTAAGTAATAAAATTTCTTAAAGCCACATATAGGAATTTTCATCAGACAACCCCAAGTAATTCAATTTGGTGACAGTATGATACAAATTGATAAAGCTATTTTTTCCTAAAATGTTTCCTAAGAGTGTTGGCTCAATCCTCCCCAACTCTCCTGTCACGATTGCATGAGACAATAGTTCCTGTGTAAGGCTGTCAGTTTCCAGGGTAAATGATGCTTACTTTCTGAGAAGTGGTAGTTATAATTTCAACCTTAAGGAAAAGGAAAAGAAAGAAAATCCTAAGAAGGGGGAGATGGAAAAAGCAACACAGATTCCTTATCAACAAAAAAACACATTTAAAGAGCTATTTTGAGATAAGTGAACAAAGATTTTCTGAGAAAGCAGATGTAACAAAGAGTTTGACTCTATTTTTGATATCTTGTCACTGATACCATTGAGTTTCCACCCTTTTCTCCCCACCCCACCACATCTCAGACTTTAGATAAGTAAACCCATGGGCATTTCCTGAGCTCTTGGCATTGGCAGAAGCTTGAATCCCCCAATTGCATACCTGGGCATACTGTCTAGCTCCACACCCTAGCCACTAAAAAGGCCCAACCTCCTCTCTGTTTGTGCCATTTTGGACCAGCTTGCATCTATCCTGATCTCCCCATAAATACTTTGTTTGAATAATAAACTTTCCTATGGATTTTCTGGGTGTGTGAAGTGTCATCAGTCTTGACATCTAGCCTATTAACCAGATCCAATCATCCTCTGTTGGGTGATCACAAAAAACCGTGGGATGAGGTAAAGCAAACAATAGCTGCCCACAGGAGGGTGTATGCTGGGGATAGAAATGACTATACATTAGGGCAAAGATTTATAGGAAGGCAGTACTTGGACATATAATTAACCATGAGTTTCTCTATTTTGTTTGGACATGGCACTATTTCCATCAGTACAAATTGGGCAATAAGCTCAATTTTTTAATAACCAGAATTCCTTGGCTTATTCCTCAGGTTAGGAGGTAAAAATCACTGCATGGTGACATCAGACATTTTCAGCTATACATAAAAATACACACGTACATATATAAAGATTGATGTTTAGAGTCTATTAGGTTATTTGAGATATTGGATCAGTGTTTCTTCACTTGGATTTGTGATAGTCTCACAGCTAATCCTTTGCAGGAGAAAATGGGGCTGGGAGTAGTTTAATCCCTCAAAATAGAAAAGCATCACAATTGTAACAACCTGTGAAAGTATAATTCTTTGGTACTTAACAAAATGAAGTCTGAATGAATTTGTCCATACTCTCAGGGAGATTCTCCACTGTGACGTCTTTGATGTCTGATAAGGGCTGAACTACACCTGAAAGCTCTGCCACATTTCTTGCACTCACAAGGTTTCTCTCCAGTGTGGATCCTCTGATGTTGACTAAGATGGGCACTTCTGCTAAAGGCTTTCCCGCACTCCTGACATTCAAATGGTTTCTCTCCAGTATGAACCCTCGGATGTTGAGTAAGGGATGAACTCTGGCTGAAGGCTTTCCCACAGTCTTTACAGGTGTAGGGTTTCTCTCCAGTGTGGACTTTTGTATGTTTTATGAGTTGAGCTCTGACTGAAGGCCTTACCACATTCGTTACATTTATAGGGTTTTTCTCCAGTATGAATTCTGTGATGTCGAATAAGGGCTGACCGATCACTAAAGGCTTTCCCACAATCATTACAGGTATAAGGTTTTTCTCCAGTGTGAGTTCTCTGATGTTGATAGAGGTGTGAACTCTGACTGAAGACCTTACCACATTCATTACATTCATAGGGTTTCTCTCCAGTGTGAATAAACTGATGGACAATAAGGGAAGAGTTGTGACTGAAGGCTTTCCCACATTCACTGCATACATAGGGCTTCTCTCCAGTATGAATAAATTGATGTCCAACACGGGATGAATTGTGACTGAAAGCTTTACCACATGTGTTACACTCATAAGGTTTCTCTCCAGTGTGAATTCGCTGATGTTGAATGAAGTGTATTATCTGAGTAAAAGCCTTCCCACATTCATTACATTCATAGGGTTTCTCTCCGGTATGGATTCTCTGGTGTTGAATAAGAGATGAACTGTGATTGAAGGCTTTGCCACATTCATTGCATGCATGTGGTTTCTCTCCAGTATGAATTCTCTGAGGTACTGTAAGGGCTGAACAATTACTGAAAGTTTTTCTACACTCACTACACTCATAAGGTTTCTCTTCATTATGGACTCTGTGATGTTGAATATATAGTATATTCTGAACTAAGGCTCTTTCTTGCACATTATATTCCTTCCCACTGTGATTGCTCTTATGATGTCTGGTAAGGTATGAGTTCCAGTTACAGGCTTTTCTACCTTCATAAAATTTCTCTCGAATAGTCAGTTTTCTGACATCAGTTTTCTGATGTTCGGTGTAGTGTACACCACAACCAAAGGCCTTCTCATATGGATTACATTCCAAATTTTACTTTCCAGTATGAACTATACAATGTTGAATATAAACTGAGGAATCACTAAAAATTTTACTACATTTATTACACTGAAAAACTTTCTCATTTATGCTATCTTTCTGATGTCCGGCTAATTCTGAATTCTGTTTGAAGCTCTTTCCCTGAGCATCATATATATAAGGTCTCTCTTTTTTAGGATGCCTTGATTGTATAACAAAGTCTGACTTAAGACCAATATATCTGCCAAATTCAATACATTTGGGGTTACTATATGCTATAGAAGTTATTTTATCACAAATAACTGTTGCTTGTTTCCAGAATCTCTCTTGAGTCGCCTGTTTGCTCTCTGAGTAATCATCATATCCCCAGGACTCTTTCAAACTGGAGGTCCTTGCATCAGCTTTTGTGTTTCTCTCCATATCTATCCTCTGGTATGATTTTTTTTCATCAAATACCTTCTTTGGTTTTGACTTTCTGTTCTCCAAGTCTGAGGAAAAAAGTAAAAATGTTCCCTGTACTAGAAGAAGGAAATGGCTAAAATGGGAATGAGATAATAATGCTATAAATATCACATTAGTCACAAATGTAAGTCAAACAGTCAAAAATAATTTATTGAATACCTATTATGGACTAGGTACTGTGCTATGTGCTAAGATTCAATGATTAACACAACAAATATGGTACTAGCTCTTTTGTAATTTACAGTCTATTGGGGAAGATGGGTGTTAATCAAGTAATTTCAAGCATGATGAATGCTATAAAGTAAGGTATTACAGAGATCTCAATTGGGGAATGATCAATACTATGCTTAGGAATGACAACTGCCCCTAGCCTCCGAACCACAGGAATTTTTCCTAGCTTCTGATACCACCTCCTCACCCACCTTGTCTGGAGTTCACCCCAGCTTAAATCATCTTCAAGGTCTGCATCTTCCACTCCCACTTGTTAAGTCCTCCCAAAATTCCTTGATTACTGCTTAGATTGCTATCCAATTCAATAAGACCATTTTCCATATTTCCTTCACTACTCTGGGTGCTATCCATTTACCAGAGATTTCCTTCAGCCTCTACTTTTTTCCTTTGCTCTGAACCTT